AAAAGAAATCAAAAAGCATATCTACAGAATGCACTCTTTATAGAACAATGTAGGCTAAGAGTCCTAACACAGGGCTGCCAACATTTGAGTTCAGCTTGCAGTGAGATTTTTTTTGGTGAACCGAAAAAAGAAACGTTCATGTGTTCATTTTTTAAATATTGAAGTTAAATGCATCAACCTGGTGCACTTAGAGAGCAAAATGAATTTATGGTAAACAGCTTTTTTCTTTTTCTTTATTTTGCTGTTCCTTCACTTTATTTTTATATTTATATACATTTGTTTGGACGAAAACTTAGCGTGAGGAAAGTGTGGCGTGAGTGCGTGAGATATGGGTTATTTGCGTGACTCTCAAGCTCAATGCGTGAGTGTTGGCAGCCCTGCCTAACATAATAATGGTACAATGTAGTTGAAAAAATTCCATAGTAGTTAATCAAACAAATAAAGAAAGCATTCACGGAGCACACATGCACACGGAGCATTCCGTGGATTGTTCCTATCCGAATTGTGGCAATGTTTCGCGATACAATGAGGCATATTTCAATAGAATTGTGAGAGTAACTAGAGTAAACAACATGAACAAAGCACATACGTCAATTTGTCCTCGACACCAAACGCATAGTTCACGTCACTTCCGGTAAAATAACTCATGTGACTCGTCAAAATGGCGCCGCCCACAGGGTTGATGTTATTTCGGTAATTAATCAGCTTAAAATCACTGATAACGTCATCGGATAAAAAAAAATAAAAAAAAGACTGGCAGAGACTGGTCTGTTTTATCGGATGATAATTATTTAAAAATGTGTGTCATGAGGATTCCCTCCCTTTAACAAATATACTAAGTCTGACATCTTCATTGACATTTTACAATCTTTCAGGGAACATCCTCTAATAAGCTCACTAAACAAAGATCAGTTCACAGAAATGTTATTTAATTTTTACAATTGGCATGTTTGTATTGAACAGGTTAGATAACAGTGGAATAAAACTATTTTAAACTATTGGAAAAAACGGAAAATGTGTGTGCATTGAGATTAACCATTAAGATGACATGAAGTGATGAACACCAACCCAGACATTAGTTGTCTAACTTGAACCTAAAACACTTGTAGCCTGTCTCTGCATTTTGCGGAATAAGGGGAATGTCAACACAGACACCTGTCAGCCCGCACTCTGCTGTTCCTCAGCGTCGCTCCCCCTCCCGCTAAAATTATGAATGAAAAGCGTAGTAATCATAGATAACACGGCAGGGTCTGCGACAGTTTCTTTTCATCTGATTTCAAATAAACAAAGTCTTGGTTTTTAGAATATTAAACTTGTTTCGCCACATTCAGATGATAAATACAACTTTTAAGCTTGTAAAGGCATAATTACAAGCGGTAACTTAACGTCACAGCAGGCATAACAACAGCCGGTGTTTCTTGTGAGGGTTTCCCCGGGAAACAAACACAATACACACACGCGTCACAGATTCTTTCGCGGTATTTGAAATCATGTACACAGTTCGCGACGTAACTAGGAGTCTAGTGGACTACTACAAGTAAAACAATTAAAAATAAAAATGTATTTATAAATGAATTACGTTGTTTATAAATTAATCTGAGGGCCGCAAAAAGAGGAGGTGGGGGCCGCCATTTGCCCATCCCTGGTCTAGATATATATCCTTCACTCATTTTGTATATATTATACTTTTTAGTTCAGTTTTTATCTTCTACTTCAGAAGTTTATATTTTATGTTTGTCTGTTCTTTTTCATCATCACATTGTGTGCAAGGCCTTGTTTACATGCTGCTGTGATAATTTTTTTCTCCCAAATTAAGATAAAAATAAATCTTATCTTGGTCTTAAAAGACAAATTCCGTGCATGTAAGAGGATTTCCTACTGACAGGCAGAGAAAAAAAAAACTATACCAGCAGCTGTAAATGAGCAGAAAACATAATGTAAAAATGTGTTTTTATAGGTAAAGATTAGTAATCAAAGCTTTAATCAGAGCGCTCAGTGCCGGCTGTCGTGTCTGGAAACTGTGGCATACATCAAATGCTCGTCTGTTCACAGCAACTTAGATTTTCTTTAGGCCAACTTTGACTTGACTTTTGATTTTAATGGTTATAATGTCAAAACATCATGCCCAAACTCTTAGCTCCCATAACAAAAATGAGCATAGTCATCAACTTTTTCTAAAAGGTCTGTCATTTGTCCCTCAGGTTTAAAAGGTTGGGCTCCCTGCGGCTGGATGAGAAGAAGTTCTGTCAGGATTGTCAGATGTTGCTGCTGCCAGCAGAGCATGAGGCCCACTCCTCTCACAGGTCAGTGGGGGTCTCCAGTGCTCAGCTGAGGAGACCCAGTGTGCTGCTCCGTCCTCTGCTTAACAAGAAGAGCAACGCCCAGTACCTGTTCACCGACCGCAGCGCACACTTCCTGCTCAACTCCCTGGCTGGTCTGGGATACAACAAGGTGCTTTGTGTGGGAACGCCCAGGTGAGGGAGATTACAACAAGATTTTTTATCAAAATAATGCTGGGCTAGTTTGCCCTAACAACTGAATTCTAACTCTCATTCAAAGAATAAAAAAAAAAGCACATCATTTTTGCCTAGTGGTCAAAGATACCTTTATTACAAAGGACTTAAAATACCAAATGCATATGAACTGTAATGCAGGTGATTTGTGCTGATGATGATACATGTGGCAATGCATTGAACTACGCTGAAAATAAGCAATGAATGACCTTTTAAACATTTCTCTCGAATTATTTTAAGCCAATAATGATTAAAGTTTTTCCAGACTTCAGGAGCTGATCACGCTGCGGAACCTGGAGGGAAAACATGAGCCAATGAAGAGTCTGCTTCTGGACATTGACTTCAGGTTAGCTGTCTCATCTGTTATCATGATGTATTTTACTGTACAGCTGCTCTCATATAAACCTATGAATAAATTCGACACAACAGATTGCACACATCATTAGCAAAACATCCAGATGTAGCCCTGATCACTGTCTGGTGTGACACTGCAGCATCATGCAGTGCTGATGGGACAGAGCTCCAGGTGATTGGGCCACATCTGGTTCTGTGGTGGTCTCAGGAAGCGCACGGCAAGGTACACAGGCTGGGTGAACTGGTGGTGAGCGCGGTCGAACACTGGTGTCACCGCTGCTGAGAACATTTGTAGGACCGCCATGGTGTCTGCGTCGTAGAAAAGCAGCTGACCCTTGTCATAGTTCAGCCATATCCCCACCTTTCCCAGCTGCGTTTGCCCGACGCCTTTGCACGCTACATGCCGGTCGTTGTGCCACGCAGACAGATTGCTGTTGCGGAGCTCCAAGCACCAGGAGTTCCTGTTCCGGCCCAGTTTGCTGCCCTTATCCTGGCCCTTCCTCTCCATGCTGGCATAGGCCACGCCCAGAGCCCAGGCAGAGCAGCAACGCACGTCCACCTCCCAGTACCTCTGACCGGCTGTGACTGGAGCTGAGCCCAGAGCACAGCACACCTTATCAAACTGAAGGGGGTGAGCTGGTCCCGAGCAGGCGGAGCCGGAGAAGGACAGGCCCCACCCCTCTGAGGTCACCGTGATCTGGCTATGGCAAGTCTGCCTGTCAATCACCATGGGGGAGGAATCTGCAATGACACACAGTTTGAGATTTGTGGGTGATTTATTAGCTTTCATCAGTGATGAAGATTGAGTTAGGGTTTTTTTTTGTTTTAGATTTTTTTAGACATTTATATTTTGACACTTTAATTCAACCATTCATCTTTAGTATCTTTAAGTCTGCACCTTTTTAACATGAATTCCAAATCTATTGTATTACATAGAAAAATGCTTTATATTGATAGTAAATACCATAGGTTTCATGTCAACATATAACATTCAAAAGGGCTTGATTTAAATTCCAATCTGAGGCTTTTCCAATCGAAGTGTACCTTCCCAACTTTCTCCCGATATCATGGCCCACGTTGTGGGAATTTGTGTGATTAGTCTCTTAAGCAGGTGGCCCCTTATAAGGCAGCATCTTTGAGTGCTGCTTAAAACTGAAAAACCAATTTTTTTGATATATAAACAAAATATAAAAAGTATTTTATCACTATTGACATGATTGTCACCTGCCCTAATAAACTAGACTTTACTGCAACACCCTCTAGCCCCGAGTGCTTTAGCTTGTGTAAGGTATTCCCATGATGGAGCGATAATGTCCTCAATACCTAACAGCAGCGTCTTCCTCTGCAGCTGAGCTTTAAGTTGTTTGGAGATGGACGATAATGTTTTGAGGAGCCTTTTAAATCTCTCTTCATTCAGGCGGATTTCCTTCTCGGTGACATCCGGTTTCTTATGACTGTGATTTCTTTCAGAGTGATCAAAGAGCAGATGTTAGACAGAAAGTTCTCAAACTGAGTTGTAAACGTTTCATCAAATAGTGCAGTGTTTTACCTCAGATTCTCTGGCTGACCCTTGAAGGTGAGACAAACAGAAACCCTGATTTAAAACACCAGGAGAACAACACCTTATGTTACTTTATTTGAATAGTTTGCATTGAACAGACCTTATCGTCTTTGTCTGCCAAGGGACTGTTGCTCAGAGCTCTCTGCATGCTGCTGATGCTCTTAGTGACCTGGTCCTGGTGGAGCTGCCAGGTCTTCAGAACCTGGTCCAGTCTGGTCCGGGCCTGTCTCAGGTCCAGCTCTAGAGAGTCCTGCACTGCTTGCTCATCCTGCTTCAGGACACAGTGCATGTTCTCGAAGTGCTCCTGAACGCGTTGTTTCATAACCTCTGTGCTCTTCTTCAGGGGGGACATGAGATTATGACAGCCAAAGGGTTTATATGTTATCAGCCTATTAGTCTAGTTGCCAGCATAGTGTACCCTGAAATGTTGAGTACCCCACATTTTTTCGTTAGAAATGTACAGTTAGGGTCCCCAGCACATAGAATTTGTGATTTCGACCACCATGAGCAGTGTTGCAAACATTGGATATAGAGAGCAAAAGATGAAAATTATTAATCTGTCCAATGTCTGCTACATTTTCCAAATCGACCCAAAATGCATAAAAATAAGCCCACAAAGTACAAATATTGGCGTTTTCTGATACTGAAAATGTCAGAAATGGACTCGGCATCCTCAATTACCCACATTGTCCACATACTGTAGGCTATAATGGTAATTCATGCTTATTAACAAAACTTGTGCTAAATGTGCAAATTGCCCAACATATGCAGGTTAGCATCCGGCAGTTTCTATGGGCTGGGGACCCTACTATACAATATCTAAAATAAAAATGTGGGGTTCTCAACATTTCAGGGTTCACTTTAGGACTCTGAGCTGGCATCTAGACTATATGTGACCTGCTCTATCGAAATCAGTCGCATTGACCCGAAGACACATTTTGAGTTGTATACACTGCTGGAAAGAGGATATTCCTAGCTTTCTAATGATATCAGGATTGTTTTTGTACTCCAAATATTAAGCGAAATATGTCACATTATATAATGACTGTCACCGAGTCATCATTTTGAGAAAAAGGCCTTCAAAGTTTTCTTTTCTCTGGAATCCATCGATCTGATGATTATTAGCGGAGCAAATGATCAAAATACTATACGGAGGGAAGATATTTTCGTTTGGATTACTGGTCCGGGGGAAGCTCGCGAGTGTGTGTGTGTATACGTGTGTGTGTGTTTGTGTCTTTTTGCGTTTGTGTGTATTGCGTTTGTTTCCCGGGGAAAACCCTCATGAGAAACACCGGCTGTTGTTATACGCATAACAACAGCCGGTGTTTCTCATGAGGGTTTTCCCCGGGAAACAAACGCAATACACACAAACGCAAAAAGACACAAACACACACACACGTATACACACANCAGAGGGGATCGTCGGGAAAGAGATGGCTGTTTGAGGAAGCTCCCATTTATTAACATTTCAACAAACAAGTTAAATATTTGCATAACGTATTCAAGTGTTAGCATTTAGTGCAATAGTAGCTACAGAACATGTACTGTGCTGTGTAAACTGTACTGTATCACATAGCGTTTCAGACACACAAACTTTTCAACTTTCAAACTTAAACGGTGCCATCCCAGCGCACGTACCGGCAGTGATCTACAGCAGTGGTTTTCAACCAGTGGTACGGGGACAAACTGTCTCGCTCTCGTAATGTCTGTCTGTCTTGCTCTCGTTCTGTGTCTCGTACCACTCTCGGTTCCACTTTTACTTTTGCGCGCTACCTGTCTCACTCTTTTCCGGCCTCCAGCTTTTCCTGCTGGAGCCCGCCGCTTAAAGGTGGGGGGCGCGGACCGGCCATAGAGCCCATAGAGTTAAAGGTGGTGCACTGTAACCTGTAAAATCCATAGATTTAGGAGGTCCCCTAATGGCCGTTAGCTGTAAAAATCCATAGATTAGCCGCACCGTTATATAAGCCGCAGCGTCGAAAAATGGGGAAAAAGGCGCGGCTTATAGTCCGAAAATTACGGTAGTTACTTTATTTCCATTAACAGAAAATCACTGTTGGACTTAAGAGACGCTAAATGACATTTACACCTTCAGTGAATAATACAGACCTAAGGTAACTGAGGCCTCCAAAACACCATTTCCAATAATCACCAAAAACGTCGCCATTAACGAGGAATTGAATTTATTATGGACATTGCATGTCATGTCATGACATTGCATTGCATGTGTTTCCAAAGATGTCACTCATTAGTTTCATTGAAAGTGTGCACTACATGGCAAAGTTCTCTCCTGCAGTTTGAACACTGACGGTGCTAGCAAGAGGAGACTCTATTGGATATGATATATGGAGCATGATAACTACTAGTTATTACTTGTAAGAAAGTTCTCCATCTTGACATATCATCATGCTGTCTGAATACATCTTTATCTTAAACTCGACAGCCTTGCAGTCAATCACTTTCACAGCACACCTTTGTACTCGTCACAGTAGTAAAACACTTGGCAATATATTATTATAATATGGATGGGTTCCATTATGTTAATGGTTAAATATGTGCTTGTCAAAAGGAAAAGGTGTGCTGTGAATAAAAAAAGTATGTGCACCTTAGTTCTCATCTGCTGGAGGTGTCATCATTTCTGTCATCTAATGTTAAATGAAAAAGGTCCAACACAGGAACCATTCCTCATGATTAATGACAGTGACATTCTAAAGCTGTTTTGATCAATATGTTCATTACATCATCATGAAAGGGATCACCTGGTAATCCAGCATGGTGAGTGAGGGGAGACACTCCAAGATGCGAGGCTCAAAGAAATATGGGAAGATCCACATCATGGGCATGTCAGCACCGCTGCCGTCTGCACAGAAACACAGTAGATTTCTAATTAACCTCAAATAGACAGAAATCTGGAAAATAGAAAAGGATAAACATCAGACTCCACAGTGAAACTGACCCGAGCTCTGCAGCTTCCTCCAGGTTTGAGAGAGCAGAGAGAAACTGTTGGCCAGAGGCTTCACCAGGCCCCCGAACGGAGGGTCCGCCACCATCACCAGCTTCCCCCCCTCGCTCTCTGTGAGGAAGGCCTGAAGGACTGCACTGGAAGCCTAACAAGAGAAGGAGCCTTATTATCCTATCCTATACATTCAATATCTAAAACAAAGGTGTTCGGACTGTACCTTTCCATCAAAGAAGTGGTGGTTGAACATGTTGTAGTGACAGAACTCATCCTGGCTGTAGAACTGAGCGTATCTGAAACATTATGAAGAAAGAATGTGTTAGTCGGCATTCACAATTCAAATGACTTTGCTTCTGTTTGGTTCTTCTCTTAACAGCAGGCTGCAAAACAAGAGCAAGTTTAAACTCATCTACTTTAACGCAGCTGACGTATGTGTGTATCCAAGTTCCAATAAATGTGCTACAGGCTGCAGCTCGTAACTCATGAACACACCCTGCACATTCTTTACTGAAACAGCAGAGACACAGCACAGAATCACTGCAGGTAAGAAACTTTATTTAAAAATGCGTAAGAATACAATGAAGGACTGTATCTGATTATATCGGGATTATATAATTTTTACAACCTGTGGAGGTCTAAGAGTTGATTCCCCAGTAGAAAAGGATTTGTGTGACTGAACAAAAACCTGGTATTTTACAGTTTTATATGCTAAATATGCCAAAATGCAATGCTTAACATTCAGAAATGTTAACTGATTCTGTTTTTTTTGTTAAGTTTGCTGAGAAAGTGTTTGAAAGAGTTTGAGTAAAATGCTTGTCATGGTGTCAGAATAGACATGTTTTCACAGATTTTGTAAAACCTGAAGAACTGGTTTACTGTTTTACAGTTGAAGCTAAAACACAGAGAATGCCTAGACAGTTTGAAAGGAGGAATCTGTCAGAAAGAGTGTAAATATATGTACGTTTGTCATTTTGAAAAGAGATGGCAGGAAAGGAAGCATTATCTGTTGGTGATGGACAGTTAGCACAGAGTGGGCTTGCGGCCCCCGCCGCAGGCTCACCTGCAGGCTCCCACAGTGCACTGCAGGAGGGGCGGGGCTTCTCTCCTCTGGACTCCAGCAGTGACCGGGTCCAGCCCTTCCCTCGCTCTCCTAAACTGCAAAAGAACTTTGGACAACCCTCTAAAGTGAACCTGAGCATGGTGAGGCACACTTATATTATTATATAAGTTTGTATGAGTTGAGTATGAGTTTTGGGAATGATTTCACATACAGTCTCATCTGCATGCAGAGAAGACTTTTTTCTCAGACCTTAAAGGATGTGAACAAACAGACGAAGCTCAAACTGATGAGTCATTTTAGAAACCACGGTGTAGTTTAATACACTTGTGCACTCTGAAACGAGTACATCAAAGTGCATGTGCATCTCGAATCAGAATCGGTTTTATAACCAAGTCGGTTTACACAGACGAGGAATTTGCTTTGGTATAAATGTGCATGCTAAGACAAAAAAAGAATAATAATAAAAAGCTATTTTAAAAAACTATTTTAAGACAATTGTACCAAACAAAAAATAAAGACGATATTTACCCAAAATATAATTATGTGAGAAACTGAGTACAGTAAAAATATGATAAAATAGGACAAATACTATATACTATATTGAAAGTGGAGAGCTATTCTGATTTAAAACGAGGAAGTGTGGAGCAGAAATGTGCAACAAAGCTGGTCAAGCGAACATGGAAACGCAGAAAAAAACAGAAGCGAGTTAATTAGAATGTTTCTGAAGAACATTTCAAATTGAACTGATATAAACATGGCTTCCAGGTATGTTACAGGATAGACTAGAAAAATCAGGTTGGCAATGTTGGTAAATGAGGTGATGAAAACTTGTGACTATGATCCAGATATGGCTCATCACATTATTGTTGAATAATTAACCATGCAGAAATATCAAATAAAATGTCATCACCATTTCTATCACAGTAAACTGTCTTTTGGTTTGGGTTGACTGTTGTTTGGACAAAACACTGTTTAATCTAAAAATAAATCTATTATCTGATCGTCAAATCATATTTTGTTGCAGAAACAATTAATTGAGTCAACAAACCAATATTACTGGTGTGTTTTCTAGTTTGTATAGTTCAAAAGCTTAAGGTTGTCAAAGTTGCAAGTCTACTTCATACAAGCCAACCTTTCCAAAAGAGGTAGGTTTGTACGTGGCAAATGTTCAAGCCCAAATTAATTAATAATCAGAAGAAATGGAACCACAGTAATTACAGATATAAACCATGTATTTAATATATTGCATCAATTTTTCACAAAAATTGGTCATACAATGGTCAGTCACTTTAGTGCTTGGTATGTAGCAGACTTGGCTTTCTTGAGAAGTTCAGGGTCTGGTTTCCAGTTGCAGCAGGTTACAAGATGTTTATCTTCCCTGCAAACAGACCTTCGTGTACCTCGATAAACTCGTGATCTGCTGTCCACTTGGCTTTAAACTAGGGCTGTCAGTCGATTAAAATATTTTATCGCATGATTGTCCATAGTTAATCGCGATTAATCGCACATTTTTTATCTGTTCTAAATGTACCTTAGAGGAATATTTTTCAAGTTTTGAATACTCTTATCAACATATGAGTGGACAAATATGCTTTATGCTAATGTTTATTATCATTTGAACAATGACAAATATTCTCATGAATATTAAACACAACCTCTGAACATTACGTGTGTGTGTGTGTGTGTGTGTGTGTGTGTGTGTGTGTGTGTGTGTGTGTGTGTGTGTGTGTGTGTGTGTGATGGATCGTTGGAGCTATGTGCAACTCAAGGCATATGCTCGAACGGGAGCTGCCTGGATGCTGCGCGCACTATCCGTGCTGACTTTTCGTACAATGTGCCACTGCTCAGCGCAGTTGTCGGCGAAATGTCGCTCCTCTGTTTTCATTTAAACAGCTCCTTATATCCGTTAGCGCAGCTAGCTAGCACCAGATGCTAACAACAACAACAATACACGTAAGGTCTCTCTCTCGCGCCACACATACACACACCCTCCCGGTCCTCCCGATGGCCAGTCGCTGCCTGCCAGTGAGCGTGGAAGTGTGGTCTGCCGCAAGCGGACGGCAGGAGCGGGGCTGTCAGCATCAGCTTGTAGATGTTATTTTAAACTCGATGCACTCTGAAACTACGGGTCAGCCGAGGACAAAAAATACACATGCGTTAATTGCGTTCAAATAATTAGTGCCGTTCATTTTTTTTTGCATTAACGCGTTATTAACGCGTCAACTTGACAGCCCTACTTTAAACACATTGTCCCACTGCTTGGTGGGCTTCTTCTTCTCGGGGGTTCTATTCATGGCGGAATTTCCATATCAAAACCTGTAGTTGTGTGTATTGTTGAACATCTCTGATGGATAAACAACACACACACGCGTCCAGCGGCATCATACACACACACACTCGGCGACAAACACCCAACACGCCCACAAACTCAACAAGTCACACACGAGTACACACACACCGCATGGACTACTCATCGCTAGAAAAGCTGTTACAAAGATTACGATCAGACCTCGATAACTGTACAAAGATGGGCGGATGGCTAAATTGACCGAAAGGGATGGGCTAAAGATTAGAAAGTGTTTAATAGTTTTTATGTTTTACGGGAAACCGCGTGGTATCTGTTACCTGAGCTGAAACCGAGGATAGGTTACTTTAACCCTAAACGAAGTAGCCACTAATCACAAGCCAGAACCNAGCAGGAGTTAAAACAAAGCACACATATAATTCAGTTTAAAAGGATGTACAGAAACACTTTTTTGGAAAACTATGAGAATGAAGAGAGGTGATTGAAGATGAGAAATTATTGTATATGTACAGTATGTATTAATGTAAGTAGGAATAACTTGCATAATGTTTAAAGGACAATCATTGATCAAGTAAGGGGTGGGAATTAATAAGCATTTGCTTCCTCCTGCTCCCTTTCGGACACATATGATTTTTTATTATTAATATGAAGACTTTTTTTGTATCATGAATGTGGATAAATACTGTATTTTAACAATATGGTATTCTGTTTTTTCACATTTGTTATTTTTGTAATGTGTTAGAAATAAATATTGAAATTAAATAAAATTAAATCATCACTGACTTCCTCTTATGTCCTCCTCTCATATCTTTCTGTGGAAGTTTCATTCCTCTCACAACTTTTTCTCCAAGCCTGACTTTCAAAAATATTTGATCTTTTAACATCTCTCTTATTTTTGGTCTAACTTCCTTGCTGTCCTACTTGTTCCAAGTGTATCTCTTCTCCCACCTTAACTAGCATTTATCTTTCTGATCTCATCCTCCTCTCATCTGTCTGAGACTTATCATTTATCTTCCAGTTCAAATGGAGGACAGGCAGTGAAACCCGCAGTCGGTTGACAGATTACCCCGCTCTGGTTTACAGTATTTAAAATATGAGGATTTAACAAACACCTTGTTATCTACTTTTACTATTTAATTATGTCAATCCCCTCCCCAAAACAATAGTTTCTCAATATTCTGAAAGCACTTAATGGCACATTTCAGGCTATTATTCATTCATTTATTTCTGCCGCATTTTGTTTTTTTTTCATGCAAAAGGGTTCATGCATTAAGGAGCTGGTGGATGTTTTATGCATGATGCCGGAGTGTGAGTAATGCCGAGCTGTCATCAGAGCAGCCAGGAGTTGTAAAGTATGATACTCGCCCTGAAGCTTTCCAACAACATGATGCACACTAAGCTCAGACCCAGAGGCTTTATTAAGGCTGGGATAAGGATGTGTGATAGATGTATTTTAGGAATGTTTTACAAGAAATATGGGGTCAAATAGAAGTCTTGGCAATAAAAAAAGAGGCAACAAAATTGATGCAAAAAGCGTTTGGATGTCAGCCAGCAGGTAGGGAGAGCAATAATGGCGGTGTTGTTTTTCCTCAATAAAAAAATCTGTTGAATGTGAATATTTTCTTACACTGATTTAATATCTGCCATCCTTTCATTGGTCAAATTTTAAAATAAATATATATATATTAGATTTGTGTCATTATGTATGTGAACAGATCAACAATCTGCAGAAAAAAGTGCATATATACACTGTTGCACATAAAGTTGGAATTTATTTATTTGACCTCTTTTCATGAAAGGATTGTGACAATGTCATTGAAGTGTATATCATCTCAAAACTTTATTGATCAATGTCTTCCAAACATGTCACAGTGAAAATTAAACCACAATTAAAAGAGCAATGTATCTGAAAACTAAATGATTCCAACTCTACAGGCAACAGAGTATATAACATCTGCAAATTGCTAAAATAATATCTCAATATATTATTTT